GTAGTATCAGGTGTGTGATCAGCCAAAATGTGACAAAATGGAGTGGTGAGACCGATAGGAGCGATGGCAAACCTTTTCGCAAGTGTTTCTGTGTACTTGCTTGCAGAAAGATGGATGACATCGGGGCCGCAGTCGACGTTTAACTCAAGAAATCGGGTAACGTTTGGAGAAATAGTCACATCAAGAATCGTTTAGATTGTTTTCTCCATGCGCGCCAAAAGACTGTTGCACGAGCCGGTGTACATTAAGTCGTCCACGAAGGCGACTAGGAGAATGTAATTCCCTTGAAATTTGAGTCTGTACATTCCAGGATCGTGGGGCAGCTGCACGAAGTCAAGTGAAATTAGCACTTTATGAAGATGCTGCTGCCAGAGGCAAGGAGCCTGTTTGCAGATGTGAAGTCCGTCGCCGTAAGTGTGAGGGAGTTGGACGTAAATATCTGCATCAGCGTCTGCGTATAAAAACACCTTTTTAACGTCCAGATGGCGAAGTGGAAGGTGGCGGCTGGTAGCGATGGCGAGAAGAATTTGAACTGAGGTATGACGGCTGACCAGAGCAAAAGTCTGGTTGAAATTGATGTTGTGGGTTTTTTCCAAACATCGAACGACCCATCTCCCCTTGAATATGTCTGGTCCGCTTCTTAAGAGCTGCTACCATTGCATCCATAGCTGCTAGCCACATGTCAGCATCAGAGCCAGAGAGGGCCTACTTGACTGTTTTTGACTCGATCCTGGTCGTTGGTTGCTGAACTGCGACAGCAAGACCGAGAATATGAAGAGCCAATTGTTCACTACAAGGATGAGGTTGGCAGACTTCGACAACATCATCGTCCTCAATTTCGAATGGCAGATGGAGGGCACCGTCATGTGAAGCTGCGTCCATTTTGTGTCGGCGCAGGTGCTCCTCAAAATTGTAGGCAGCCTGTGTCGTAGCGGGATGCAACGGGTCCGAGTGTGGAATGAAGAGTGGGGTTAGTGTGTTATTGGCATGTGTCAAAGGAATATAGGTTTCCAACAATTGTTTGGGTGCTGACAAGGACTGCTGCGGAACAGTAGAAGGTCCTGGTGCTGCATCTGCTTCGTCTTGAGGAATGGCGAAACTCTGTTCGGCACTGTAGCGATCAAGATCCCGCTGCTAGCATTCCTTGTCGCGTTCAAAGTCATCGTGAAAAAGTTTATCGTAGAAGATGCAGTCTCGGGCATACAAAACCTTTCGGGTTTCGTAATCCATAATCATCCAAGAATAGGAATCCTTGGGTACACCAAGGTGTATTCCCCGTCGAGCTCGTTGAGTAAATCTGCCCTCAGTTGCGCTCAGAGGTCTGTATTGGACCATGCAGCCCCAAACTCATACAAGTTGAGTGTCGGCGGGGTGTTTTGTCCACATGACGTGTGGCGAGCTGAACTGAGGTAAAGCAGTTGAAGACATGCACTTGTGTAGGCGGACATCTTGCGCCATCGCAAACGCCATAGCTAGTTCCGTTGATGAAGGTAATTATAGAACGGTAGTCATTGCCCCTGATATCTTCTACTTCCTGCGGCACGAAGAGTATGTCGCTGGAAACGACATCCATAGGTGAGTACGTTGTGGCACTTGGAAAGTGCGACGGGAATGGAGCGTGACTCAGGTGAGCTCCGGGGCCAGTGGTGCAGGGTAGTTGACGACTGTTAGGTCGAAGCTCTTGGCCGTTGGTTAAAAAGATTGCGTCTTCTCGAAAACCGATAATTCAATCGAGTTGTTGAGAGCTTCTTGCGAGCGATGACCTAACCACTTGTGCCAAATTCCTGTTGTAGTCCTTTGTCCCTTTGAACATAGGTACAAGCCGGAGTGAAGGAAGAAGGAAGGCGAAAGATGAATCGTTGGCGCAGAGTTTGCGCAGGGGCCGGTGTGAAAAGGCTAGATGAACTCGGCTTCTTCTGCAGTTTCAACCCAAGGTATGCCGAGATGTTGGCAACACGCCCAAGCCTCATGTACGATTAACTCTTTCTTGCCCCATGTGCATTCAACTTCCATGGGTTCTTCGACTATAGCAGACGTTGGTTCTTGATTGTCGTAACCCCAATTTCCATCTCCAGATGCCCATGTTCCTTGAAGTGTTTCTGCTGCTAGTGATGCTGCTTCTGTTGGCTCTGCTGGAGGTTCGTGGAGGGAGTTGGTGCAAGAAGGTTGAGGCGTGATGCAGAAGACATTAAGACCGTCATGGTCTTGGCGTTGAAGATCTCTTTCCCAGTAATGATGCCAAGGAGCAAGTGAGACGTTCTTCTTACTGTCACCAGATGCCTGTCTCACTTGCTCCTTGGCATCATCACTGGGAAACAGATCTTCAACGCCAAGACCATGACAGTCTTAATGTCTTCTGCGTCACGCCTCAGCCTTCTTGCACCAACTCCCTCCACGAACCTCCAGCAGAGTCAACAGAAGCAGCATCAGTAGCAGCAGAAACACTTCAAGGAACATGGGCATCTGGAGATGGAAATTGGGGTTACGACAATCAAGAACCAAAGTCTGCTACAGTCAAAGAACCTATGGAACTTGAACGCACATGGAGCAAGAAAGAGTTAATCGTACCTGAGGCTTGGGCGCGTTGCCGACATCTCGGCATACCTTGGGTTAAAACTGCAGAAGAAGCTGGGTTCATTCAGCCTTTTGGCACCGGCCGCTGCGTCAACTCTGCGCCAACGATTCATCGTTCACCTGCCTTCTTCCTTCATTCCAACTTGTACCTGCGCTCAAAAGGACACAGGACTACAGCATAAATTTGGCACAAGTGGTTAGGTCATCCCTAGCGACAAGCTCTCAACCACTCAATTAAAGCATCGGTTTTTAACAAGGATGCTCTCCTTCTAACCAATGGCTAAGAGCTTCGACCTAACAGTCCTGCACCATCCTGCACCATCAGCCATGCTCCGTTCGTGTCGCACTTTCCAAGTGCTACTAAATACTCTCTAATGGATGTCGTCTTTAGCGGCATACTCTTTATGCCGGGGGAAACAGAAGATACCAGCGGCAACGACTACCATTATATACAGTGGCGGAAACAATTGTCCCTATGTTTTGCATAAATTTGGGTTTTTAGGCTTTAAGACCACTATACATTAAGCCTTAATGTTTAATTGTGGTATGATTTGGGAGGGGCACATAGTGGATGTGTTCATAGCACAAATATCCAGAATACTACATTAGATCTAACTCATATCCCAAAAGATATACAAAGGGTACATCCGGACAAAGTTCCAATCAGTGAGAGCAAACTTCAAAAGTGTGTTTCTAGTTCCTAGCCCACCGACCTTTGGCCTTGATCACCACTCGCACCCTCCTAGGTGAGCTGTCGATGAGGCGAGAGCAAACCTCGGCATGGATCTTCTCCCATTCTTCCTGGACCAACTCTTAAAGCTCTAGTCTTCCAGAGGAAGGCCTTTTCTGCTTAGCTAGCTCCCTTTTCAGGTAAGCCTAGAGGTTGAGGTTTGGTGAGAAAGAAGGCCACTCCAGGGCTACAAACTCATGTTCTCCAAGTCATTCATGCACTAGGCATAACAAATTCTTGGGGTCATTGTCTGCACCAAGATGACATCAGATGGGAAAATGCTATAGAAATGGAGGGTCAATTTGAGTTTATCATGCAAACTGCCCTCATATAGGGGCCTCTCCATGCGTCTGTCAATCTTGCGTATGAACCCCACCCTCGCACATGTCACACATCCCCACACCATCACCGATCCTTTGTCCCCATGGTTTACTGTCTGTTTGATTTGGTGGCATTGAAGGGTTGTGCCTTCACGAGTCCAGGCCAACGCGTGGCCATTGGAGCTGAAGCAGTTGATGTTGGTCCTATTTGACCAGATCACATGCTTTCGAACACTAATTGTCCACTCAGCATGCGACTCCACGAATTGCACCCGGCCCCATATAATTTCCAAAACAGTCTTGGCTTCTATGATTGGTGCACCATGACTAGACACGCATACCCTAGTGTGTTTTTAATGGTGCAAGGGTGTACAGTCAACCGTGCAACGTTACCCTAAGTTTCGTGGTGTCTACGATAGATTTGGCCGCTCTATTCGTGTTTTTTCCCAACAATGGTACGATGAAGACGATCCGTGATAAGATGGGCCCGACTGGCTAATTGCATCTTTGGCCACACCTCAGCATGACTAGTCTCAAAGATACCATTCAATCCAAATTCGTCCACAATACTCTTGCCTACGCCCAATATTTGTTGCGATTTTCCTAGTACTCACCCCCTTATGCTAAATGGTGGGTCCAGAAAGAGTGCAAGAAGTTCCCTGCTGAGGTTTGTACTAACCACGTAGGTAACGTGCCTAGGAGGGTGCGGGTAGTGATCAAGGCCAAAGGTCGGTGGGCTATGTACCAAATACGCATTTATGAAGTTTGCTCTCTCTTCTTGGAAATATTTGTCCGGATGAACCCTTTGTATATCTTTTGGGAAATGAGTTAGATCCAATGTACTATTCTGGATATTTGTGCTATGAACACATCCACTATGTGCCACTCCCAATCGTACCACCATTAAACATTAAGGCTTAATGTATAGTGGTCTTAAAGCCCAAAAACTCAAATTTATGCAAAACATACAAACAATTGTTTCCGCCACTATAATTACCTTCATCGATGGTGCTACTCGATACCTCTGGCACAAGAAAATCTCTCACAATTCTGAAGCTCTCGACGCCTTTAAGCTATGGCTGAAAATCGCGAAGTGGCAGAGCGGCATCAAGCTGAAAGAGATCCAGACATACAACGCAGGGGAGTACACAAGCGAGAAGTTCGATGAATTTTCTGGTGCGGAAAGGGATATTCAGGCTCAAGACTATGCCTTATGCCCATCAGCAGAATGGAGTAGCTGAGAGAACTACCAAGACCATCAGCAGAATGCTGCTCGCTAGTGTACTCGCCCGCGTTGTCTTTCTGGATCTCTTTCAGCTCGATGCCGCTCTGCCGCTCTGCGATTTTCAGCCATAGCTTGAAGGCGTCGAGAGCTTCACACTTGTGAGGGATGGTCTTGTGCCAGACTTATCGAGTAGCACCGTCAATGAAGGTAATTATATAGCGAGAGTCGTTGCCCCTGATATCCTCTGCTTCCTGCGGCATGAGAAGTATGTCGCTGAAAACGACATCCATGGGTGAGTACGTAGTAGCACTCGAGAAGTGCGACGGGAACGGAGCATGCCTCAGGTGAGCGTCGGGGCAGATGGTGCAGGGTAGTTGGCGATTGCTAGGTCGAAGTCCTTGGCCGTTGGTTAAAAGGGGGGCGTCCTTGTCGAAAAGCGATGCTTTAATCGAGTTGTTAAGAGCTTCTTGCGAGGGATGACCCAACCGCTTGTGCCATGTTTGTGCGGTAGTCCTCTGTCCCTTTGAACGCATATATAAGTCAGAATGAAGGAAGAAGGCCGGCGAAAGGTGAAACGTTGGCGCAGGGTTAATGCAGCGGCCAGTGCTGAAAGGTTGGATGAATCCGGCTTCTTCAGTTTCAGCCCAAGGTATGCCGAGATGTTGAGGATGCGCCCAAGAATGTAGTAGGATTAACTCTTTCTTGCCCCATGTGCATTCAACCTCCATAGGTTCGTCGACTGTAGCAGATGTTGGTTCTTGATTTTTGTAACCCCAGTCTCCATCTCCAGATGCCCATGTACCTTTACCCATTTCTGCTGCTGCTGCCGATGTTGCTTTTGTTATTTCTGCTGTAGATCCGTCGATGGAGTTGGTGCGAGAAGGCAGAGGTGTGACGATGAAGATGTTAAGACCACAATGATCTTGGTGTTGAAGATCCATCTCCCAATGATGATGCCAAGGAGCAAGTGAGACGTTCTTCTCAGTGTCGCCAGATGCTTTTACAGTTGAGAAGCGTAGAACTGAAACGTTGTCTTCAATTTTTGCAATGTCGACTAAATTGCTTCTGTCTTCCTTCTTGTCTCCTAGGTATAGTTCCGTGAGTATCGTGTTGGTGGTGCTGACGAAACAGATGCCTGTTTCCATCAGCTTTGCTTGTGATAGTTGGTTGAAGCCGAGCCCTGTGGCAACGAGAACCTTGTTAAGGTGAAGAGAAACTTTTGTGGCGTCGTACTCGAGTATCACATCTCCAATTTTGGTCGCTTGAAGGCAAAGAAGGCGGGGCGAGTGAAGGTTTGAAGTACTGAACTCCCAACCACTCTTCATGTGAGAGATCGTGCACCAGTAGTGTATAGGCCATAAGCAAATACTTGTAATAACGTGCCTGTTCCTCGGTCGATCCGGTCTCTGGATAACGGATTTTACCATCGAAATATCCCCAGATACCCGAAGATTGCGCAAGGAGTTCGAACTCAAATCCTCAAGTATAGAAATCGCGGCCATCAAAGTAAGTTGAGGTCTTCAACTAGGAGAGAGTTAGAAAATCCGCTTGATTTACGACTGCTTCTGCAGCGAATGGTCTTTCTTTTGCCATTTGATGTTGTTGCTGCTGTGGTTGAGTAGGTCGCCCATGGAAGGCAAAAGACCGAGCGGACTCATCTCGAGCGGCTGAAGGCCCAGCGGCAACAGCAGCTCTTGCATAGCTAGAGTTATCAAGGCTGAAAGAAGCTGTAGGTGTCAACCAACATATTGTTTTGTCTAGTTAGTTTAGATATGTTTGTTATAGCCTAGCTAGGTCAGTTCTTAGAGGGGACAACATTCTTGTGCTTGTATCTCCCCTCCCCTCTTCCAAGTCACACTTTTTCCCGCTACTCTAACATGGTATAGAGCTAGGTTAGTTTTTTTTTCCCACTATTACTCACACTTCCGCCGTAACTCCCGCTTCTGTAGTCACCGTAGCTTCATTTTTTTCGCACATGTGAACCTCTCCATTTGGCGCACCTCCTGCCCTCGAATTTTCATGCTCCGTAGCCTTGACCCCCCCCTCCTTTAGCGTTCGTGCTGTTTCATACAGCAGCCAGCAGGACGGCAAGTGAGCCAGCACGCTAGCCAGCGCACTGGCTAGCACGCTAGCCAGCACGCCCGCCAGCACGCTCGCCAACACGCTAGACGGCGAGCTAGCCAGCACGCCCACCAGCACGGTTTGCTAGCCAGCTCGCTGCCAGCCGAGCTCGCTAGCTAGCCGCCAGCAGAGCTCGCCACCAGCTGAGCTCGCCAGCGCGATGCCAGCAGAGCTCGCCCGCTCGCCACCAGCAGGGCTCGCCAGCTAGTAGCCAGCAGTGTCCGCCTGCTCGCCGCCAGCATCTGCTGCCAGCTAGTCGACCAGAGATCCGCCGCCACTGTAGCCGCCATTGCTGCTGCCTGTGCCACTGCCGCTGTTGCCAGTACTGCTGCCACTGCTGCAACCGCTGCAGCCACTGCCGCAACTGCTGCAATCACTGCAGCCACTGCCGTTGCTGCCACTGCCACTGCAGCAGCACACTCTGCCGCCACTGCCACTGCTGCAGCTGCTGCCACCACTGCCGCTGCCGCCTCTGCCACTGCTCCAGCCGCTACCGCCGCTGCTGCTGCCACCTCTGCCGCTGCAGCCGCCAGCTGCAGCCGCCACTGCCGCTGCTGCCCTGCCCTTGTGGCCGTCACTGCCGCCGCTGCCCTTGCAGCTGCTGCTGCCGCCGCTGCCCTTGCAGCCGCCACTGCCGCCACTGCCGCTGCTGCCACTGCTGCAGCTGCTGCCGCCACTGCCGCGGCTGCCGCTGCCGCTGCCGCCGCTTGTGCTGCCGCAGCTTGTGCTGCCGCCGCTTCCACTGCCGCAGCTGCTGCAGCCGCTGCCACTGCCGCCACTGCCGCTGCTGCTGCAACTGACAGCTGCAGCCGCCACTGCCGCCGCTGCCCGTGCAGCTGCTACTGCTCCCGCTGCCCTTGCCGCTGCCACTGCCACCATTGCCGCCACTGCCCTTGCAGCTGTCGCTCCTGCGGCTGCTGCTGCTGCCGCTGCAGCCGCCGCTGCCACTCCTGTCACCACAGCTGTTGCCAACCGTCAGCTTAAGCCTCCACCAGCCTGGCCACCAGCAGCCAGCACCAGTCGCCAGCCGCCAGCAGCCGACCGCTGGTAACTAGCCGCCCACCCCCAGCCGTCAGCCGCCAGCTGCCACCACTCATGGCCTGCTGCCGACCACCAGCCGCCAGCGGCAGTCGGCTGCCAGCCGCCAGCCTCGTGAGTCCCCCTATGCGCCTTGTGGACCATCATTCGCCCTGTGCCGCCATTCTAAGTGACTCCTAGCTAGCTGCTCGACATGCTTCTCCTAGTAGCTCCTCTCACGCGTACTTCCTCCTCGATTGCTCCCTACTCGTCTTTGCAACTCCTAGCCTCCCGCCAGCCGCTCAAAAGCCGCTGTCCACCGATCCCAGCTTGCTGCCTCATGCTACCAGCCTGCCGCCAGCTAGCGCCATTGCCGTCTTACAGTTACTGCTACTACTAGCCTCCTACTCGCTGCCACTGCTCCGGCCACAGCCGCCATTGCTTCTACCTCCGCTAGTGCATTTGTAGCACCTAGTGCCTCCCACTAGTTTCCTCCTCGTTTCTAGAGTTCCTCGGTGCCTCTCCTCTTGGCATTATGGCCTCGTTCGTGTCAGTCCCTCGGCCAGACTGCCGGGCACTTCCCTCGCTCTCTGATTTCTCGCTCACCGTCTACAGCTGATGAGCCTGCACCTAGATTGCACGAACCTAGAGGATCACATTAGTTCCCTCCTTGGCTTCTGGCTCCACGACCTCGACAAATGCTTCCGGGCTCTCTGGCTAGTGCAGCACCAGCAGCAACAGCGGCAGCAGCCACAGTGGGGTCTTGGGGTTACTAGGTGAGGTGGAGGCTCTAGAGGTGCGGCCCCAGGGCAATCCCTAACCTGAGGCCAGTGTGGTTTCTCTAAAAGATCAGGGGCCTTGGGGACTAGAGGTCTAGGTCCCACCACTGTGTCTAAACTAAAAGCCTCTACTATGTGTCCCTTAGGCTCCTACCCTTCCCTTCCTACGGTGGCCCTCCCCTTTATCCTTGACTCGGCCGCGTCTCGTTGCTTCTTTAGAGACAGTACTGCTCTTACCCCGCTTCCTGCACCTGTATGCGTCGCACTAGCCGACTCCTCCGTCACAGCTGTCGCACGTAGCACCACCACTCTCCCTTGTCCAGCTGTCCCCTCCAGCTCCCTCACCGGTCTGCACATCCCCTCGTTTGCCAAGAACCTAGTGGGTGTTGGTCATCTTCAGGACCGAGGCATCACCACTACGTTCTCTAGCCGCGAGAGACATGCCGCTCGCACAGACACAGCCACCAGTCAGCACTTCGCCACGTTTGAGCATGACCTAGGGTCAGGTCTGTTTACACTGCACACTGAGTCCCCACCGACTACTGCGTCTGCCGTGGTTGTCGCGTCCTGCTCGTGTCGCTCCATAGCCTACCTGACCCTTCTGTAGCACCACCGCTTAGGTCGCCCTGCACTCCCGCGTCTTAGGCACATGTCCCAGCACGGTCTAGTCACTGGTCTCCCTGCATCGCTTCCCACCCTACCTACGTCGGTAGTGCCACTGTGCACGTCCTACGTCGAGGGCCGGCAGTGCACCGCCCCTCACTCCTCGTTTCCTCCTACCATAGGGCCGCTACAGACGTTGCACATGGACGTCTGGGGCCCTGCCCCGGTCCATGGTCTTAGTCAGGACCGCTACTTTCTATTCATCGTTGACGAGTTCTCGTGCTTCACCACAGTGTTCCCATTGGAGCGGTAGGCCGACGTGCCTACTGTTCTTCTCCCATAGCTTCTTACTATTCGCACCCACCACCGCTTGCCTGTAGGTCGCTTACACTCTGACTGTGGTGGGGAGTTCGCCTCTGGCACTCTAGGATAGTTCTTTCGTGCGGAGGGCATCCACCAGACGTACACAATGCCGGACTCCCCACAGCAGAATGGGGTCGCTGAGCGATGCATCGGCCTGATCCTCGAAGTAGCTCGCACCTCCATGGTCCACACCGGTGCACCCCCATTTTCTGTGGCCATTCACCGAGCGCTACGCTGCTCACCAGCTTAACCTGTGGCCGTGCTCCCAGCGGCCTCAGGCTTCGCTGACCCTCCTCTGGACTGGGTCTCTCGATGACGCGTCCGCATTTCACGTCCGGGGCAGCTTTGCTCACCTCCGCGACACTTGTACGGACAAGATCTCAGCTCGCACCCTTCCTTGTGTCTTCCTAGGGTTTCCGCTTGACGCCTCTGACTGGCTATTCTACCACCCGTCACACCACCGCTTTTACCACTCTTGTGACGTTACCTTCGACGAGACGCTCCCCTACTATCGGCGCTTCCCGCACCACAATGCTCCCGCGCCTCCTCCTCCTCTCTTCCTTGTCCCTGCCTCGCCTGCCGTACCCCTCCCGCCCCGCCCAGCCCAGTCTGGTGTCTCCCACGCCACTCAGTTCTTCTCGGTTGAGCCTGTGGGGGAGTCGGCTGACTCTGGGGTCCCAGATGCTGGGGGCACGCCTGCTGT